ATATATATATATATATATATATATATATAGTCTTATTAGAACCCATAACAGACTTGCTTATTATAACTAAAAAAATCGTAATTTTTGGTGAAAGTTGTTTTGTAATACATCCTAACCCCGTTAGGTGTCTCTTCTAGTGAGTAATAATTATTTCTTGCATGACTTTATATTGTATTTTCAAGACACAAGTGTAAGATTAAGAATCGTACTTTTCACTTGAAAAATGATACAGATCTCTTCAGCTGCTTTTTTATTGGTTCACGAGGTTTACTGTCTGTTATAAATAAAATTTTCAAACCTGGAAATGTTATTTGTAATGTTAAGCTGAATTGCACCTTATGTCCACACGGTCTAAACGGCCGGGTCACCCTTATTTTTGACCTTACTAGTGGCAACAAGGTCTTTGTCCGATTTTGAAAGGAATGAAGAAATTGATTCACTTACACACACCCGCAGCTGAAAGTGCGAAATCGGGGGCGCGAACCTTGGACCTTGCAATACACATTCCTACAGGCTAATCACTAGGCCACGATGACGCTTGGTTTAAACTGTTGAGTCAGTTGTAATAATAATGTTCGTACCTTTAAATGACGTGTACGTTAAAAGATGTTTATTCAAGTGATTACAGCAAAGTGTATTAAACACGAAAGTTGACGCAACTATGTGAAGCCAGCTTAACTACGAATTTATCGTTCATCATTCTGTATACCGTTTGTTCGTTAACAGCTTGCAGCGAGCATGAAATGAACCGATGTCCGGTGGTCACTACGTGATGACCACCAGTGCGAGTTTCTGTCTTGCCCTCTTTTATTGAAGACTGATAAATTTGATTACTTGCAGAACTGGCAATGTGTATCACTGCGATGTTTTACTGTGGCTGGCGCTCACCCCCAGGGAAAAATAGGTGAGAACACTGGCGGAACACCCACCACTTTGATGTCCTTTTTACCTCTGGTAGCAAAAGGGGACAGGCCGGAGTTGAAGGTTTTTGGAATGGACTACAAAACAAAGGATGGAACAGGTAAGCAAGTTGAACTTTTGGACAGTGTTTATTTGTAATTAAGCACAAAGCTACACAATGGGCTATCTGTGCTCTGCCCACCACAGGTATCGAAACCCGGATTCTAGCGTTGTAAGTCCGCAGACATACCGCTGTGCCACTGGGGGGCTGAATTTTTGGACAGTGTTAAGAAACAAATTAAGGCCAATGGTGTAGGAACGTGTTGTAAATTGGGGGTGCTTCGCTAGACATGCAGATTTTACATTGAGAGATTGGAAGTATAAGAAGCTGTTAAAAGCAGCTCATTCTAGGGGAGCATGGTCCCCCAGAAAATTAATATAATTTACAGTTGCACTATAAGTGAAATATGTAAAAGTAGTTCTCGGAAGGTAAATAATTTTGATGACATATTTTATTAAATTATATAAGATATTTTATAATATGTCTTACTGTCCTTAATGTTAACATTCATATAGACCAACAGTTAATTACTTAATGTTAACATTCATACAGAGCAACAATTAATTCCTTAATGTTAACATTCATACAGAGCAACAATTAATTCCTTAATGTTAACATTCATACAGAGCAACAGTTAATTACTTAATGTTAACATTCATACAGACCAACAGTTAATTCCTTAATGTTAACATTCATATAGACCAACAGCCAACAGTTAATTACTTAATGTTAACATTCATATAGATCAACAACTAATATATTATGTTAAAATTCATATAGACCAACAGTTAATTACTTAATGTTAACATTCATATAGATCAACAACTAATATATTATGTTAAAATTCATACGGACCATCAGTTGGCCTACTTATTTTTAACATCCTTTTTTTGTCCGTTTCACCAACATAAACTCTTTCGTAAACTTGTCAGAGAACTGATGTTATGTTTCTATACTTGAAAGAATTTGATCATAAAATAAACTGGAAATCAGCCGGGCTAATATATAGAACCACAAATTTGGTCAAAAGAGGAATTATGGAAAGTTTATTAATCCAAAGATCACCAAATTTCAACACATCTGAAGGTCACTCTTAAGTTGAACCCCTTTCTGACATCATATCCCGTTCAAGGAATTGGAACTTCCGTTATAAAAAAAACAAGTGTGTATATATATATATATATATATATTTCTCTCCCACAAACAAACGTTGGAATGAAGACGACATATAAAATAAGATCGTACGTCTATCTAGAATCGTACCCCCAGTGACACAGCGGTATGTTTGCGGATTTACAACGCTAGAAACCGAGTTTCGATACCCGTGTTGGGCAGAGCACAGACCTCCCATTGTGCTTAACTTCAAACGACAACGACCTATCTAAAATCGTGACTGTTTTGAGATATTTATCTATTTTTTATAATCGGAAGAAGGGAAAACCAGGACGCTTTCGTCGGTTTGATGTAAAAACGTTTGAACAAGTGAATTTCTTATTTCAAATTATCTATATTTACTAATAAACAAACGATATTTATACTCCATTAACTATGATACATCAGTTAATTCCAAAATAATTCAGTTGCTGTGTCAATGGATGGCTTATTTCATATCCAGTGGTGACAAATTGGACGACTTTTAGGTACTTCCAGGCTTAACTCTTATCTATCGTGTTCCTAATACGGAGTGAACTTCTCGCTGAGAAAATCAGTGGTAATACTCAAAGTTACAATATTATTTGTGTTTGGCATATTTTTCTAATAAATATATATATATATAAATTGCCAAGTAGTAAAACAACACAATAACGAGATAGGCTTAGCACATTTACGTTCGTATCTCAAATAGGTCCGGTTTAGGACTATGTATGTTTTTTTTTTGTTTTTTTTTCACTCACAAAGAGAAAACGGGGGACTGTACGAGTGGACTGTCTGGGTATCCAGTAATAAACCAGTTAATTCTCAACGCGTCTGTCAATTTTGAAAATAATAACGCAACGAAACTGTGTTTAAGTATATTACTGTAATCATATATATCAATGATTTGTGCGTATTTTGTTATATAATGAAATTTGGAGCAACGCTTTCTCTTCGTTTCAGTTGAACGTGATTTTGTCCACGTGATCGACGTAGCTGATGCCCACGTGGCAGCTGTTCGGAGAGTGACGCAGAAGTCGCGAGAAAAATATGAGGTAGGTTAGTGTAGAGAAAGGGATGGATGATTTGGTTTGTTCTGAATTTCGAATAAAGTTACTCGAGGGTTATCTGCGCTAGCCGTTTCTAATTGGGCCGTGATAGACTAGAGGGGGAGGCAGCTAGTCAACATCACCCACCGCCAACTCTTGGGCTACTCTTTCATCAACGAATAGTAGGATTGACCGTCACATTATAACGCCCACACGGCTGAAAAGGCGAACATGTTTGATGACGAGATTCAAGCCTGCGATCCGCAGATTACGAATGGAGCATCCGAACCACCAGGCCATGCCGAGTCTCGGCTTACTTGGTCTTAGGAATTCCAATACCCCTGTCTGTCCCCCCCCCCTGACACGATCTGTCTCTGGAATGCTGTAAGCTTTCCCCATCTTAATTGATCTTAGACATGAGGGAGAGATATTTAAAAACTAAGATTAATATAGCACTAAAAAAAAAGTTTAAAATAAAATTTAACAAATTTATAAATACAATCAAGTTCAAGAATACGAGAAAACCAGTGTCGTCGCTTTGAGATGTTCAAAGATACTGTGACCCACCCTTCCCTAAGACGACACTGGTTTTCCAGTATCTTTGAACATCTCAAAGCCGTCCCCCATTCCTTGAGAAAGCCAGTGTCGTCGCTTTGAGATGTTCAAAGATACTGCGTCCCCCATTCCCTGAGAAAGCCAGTGTCGTCGCTTTGAGATGTTCAAAGATACTGCGTCCCCCATTCCCTGAGAAAGCCAGTGTCGTCGCTCTGAGTTGTTCAAAGATACTGTGTCCCCCCTCTTCCCTGATTAGCCATTGGTGGGGGTCAGTATATTGTATCATATCGAGTAATTTTGTCTGTTACAAGAATCATTCCAAATAACTGACCAAACATTTGGTGAAGTCACTCTATGTAAAATCTAACAGCGAGGAATGAGAGTAATTGTAATATTGATGATAATTTTGTTCATTTGTGTGACTCGTATGTTTCTAGGGGCCCTGTAACCAGCAAAGTCATGAACCCACAAACAATTTGGGGCATAAATATAGTTTGTAAAATATGTTTAAAAAACCAACGGAGTTCATCAGTTATTATTCAGGGCCAAAACAAAAAGTATAGATCAGGGGGGGGGGGGGGCTTTTAAAAATTCCATATATATTGAGTGAGAAAATGCAGTTAAATCACTGGTGGGGGTTTAACGTCTCCACTTAGCCTCCTTCAGCATGCGAGATGGGGGTTGTAATTAAAATGACTGTCAGTCCTTATTTA